GACAGAAGCTTTTAGACATGGCCATAAGCAGCCCTTCAGTGAGTTGCTTTCCTATATGAGTTCACATTTTGGAAGCAAAGAGAAAATTATTCTAACTTTATCATGATGACAGTTACAAAACACACACACACACACACTCTCACACACTCTCTCTCTCTCTCTCTCTCTGCACAGGATAGTTGCACTGGAAAATACTTTCCTTCATATAGTTCTTTGAAATGAGACCAGATGTACTCATCTCAGAGAGGACTGAACACCACGGATAGAAACAAGCAGGGTGGTGAAACACTCCTTGATTTTGCCACGTCTTAGAAAAGATTCCAAGGACACATATATGGGAGTTTATATGTGTACACGTTCACACGTGTACACACACACACACACACACACACACTCTGGTCTGTCTCTCTCTCTCTCCCCTTCTCCCCCAGATCCATCATCACTAACCACTCCCATCATCAAATACGCTACATCTTTTTATGCTAAGGGAACCAAGATGGAAACATCACACTGAAAAATCAATCCTGCCCCCAACACTCTGAAAATGAAGGAGTAGCAAACCAGGCCTTTCTCAGGTGAACCCTGGAATTCTAGAAAGTATTCAATCCTGGGAAGAATAACACTTAGTACTACTGGCTTCTAATTTAACAAATCTTTAAGTAATGTCTCATTGGAGGATGAGAATTCTGCTGCTGAGTATGTGTGCAGATCAACTCTAATCTGAATTCAAGTAAATGATCATCCTCTTTCCCTGCTTAGCCATACCTCAATCTTCATTTTTCTTTTAAGACCTGGCTAAAGGAACCTTGAGAGACAGCCATCACCTCAATGGGAATTATGTACCTGAGAACTCATGTATGATAAATCAACCCAGGGCTTCCTGCTTCTGACAAAATGAGACTTTTCTTCTGCCAGTGATGAGAACACCCTTTTATTACATTGTCATAGCAGGCCAGATTTTTTAAGTATCCAGTGCCCAGCTTTCCATGCTGAAAATTCTCCTTTAATTGCCTAATATTTCTAAAGTACCTATATACTTGCATATATAAAAGATGCAACTTCTCTTTTCAAACCGACTTAACCTATCAGCTGAAATAGTAGCCAGAATGGTTTTTTTTTTTTTACTAAAAAGGCACAAATTTTAATAAAGCAATCCCAACCTGGTGAGTGCTTGGCACATAGTAAATGCTTAAGAAATATTTGTTGAACACTGAATCCAAGAATTCAAATTATTTGCCAAACTGGAAACAAGGTGCAGGATTTAGTTACAGGCCTTTAAAATTCATCTATCCCAATCACTATCACGGAAAAAAGCCTTTTAAGTGTAAGGTGTATTTTTTTTAAAAGACAAAGAGTAAATAATGGAATTTATGATTGCTATAATAATTTCTTATTTTATTTGTGTACATGAATGGGGCAATTGTTTCAAACAAACGAATTTTCAAAGAAATGAATAACTTATTCATAACTTTATTCAATAAGGTATACCCACTTTGGCTTTTGTGCTATTTTACATGGAAGAACAAGAGAAGCTAGAATTCTAGCCATTTTCCAGGATCATTTTTATATGTCAAGAAACTGATGCATTACTATAAGATGAAAATAGCTGAATTTGAATTGCCAGGCACAGGCTGACATGGAGGGACACACACACACACACACACACACACACACACACACACACACACACA